TCTCTCGACATGACAAAGACATAAAAGACAACTTGGCAGTTCAGAATACTAGGAGATCCATCCCACATAGGTGTACGAGGTTTAATGTTGGCTGTAATAGTTAGGTGTCGAATCGCACATTCCGTGTCCGTGTGGGAAACATCCTATCACCAACAATTGTTTAGAAGACAGGAATACCGCAGGGTGGTGTCATCAGATGCACACTTTTTATCGGTAAAATAAATTCGCTGCGTCCGCTTATCCCAAGAACTGCCCTTCATTTAACGTATGTGGATGATGTGCAGGTCGGATTGAGATCGTGCAATCTGGAGACTTGTGAGCGAAAGGTTCAACTTGGCCTCCACAAGGTGGCGAAATTGGCAGACAAAAATAGTTTTCACCTCATTCCTCAGAAAAGCACATATGTCATTTTCTTCAGAAATAGGGGTTTCCATCCCGATCCTAGCATACACCTACAGGGTCACAATCTATCTGTAAGCACTGAGCATAAATTTCTAGGCTAAATCATAGACTCAAAGCTCAGGTTTGTGCCTTATATTAAATATCTCAGAAAAAAGTGTATGAAAGCAATAAAAGCCTTAAAGGTCCTGTGACGTACAGCATAGGGCAGTGACAAAAAATGTCTCCTAAACCTGTACAAATAAATGTCTTGAAAGCACACTATGGAGCCATAGTCTACCAGTATGCCACACCGAGCGCGTTCAAGATTCTTGATCATATCAATAAACTGGGCATTCGCCTCTTAATTAACAGGGGCATCTCGCACAAGCCCTGTAGAAGTCTATATGTATAGTCAAACGAGTGGTCGCTCCACCTTCAAAGAACTTATATGTGTTGTGATGTTGTGATGTTTAGGATGGTTCGGCACTTATTGTGCAGCGGCGCACGAAACGGACAAGAAGGCGTTTTTTAAATATTTAACAAACTAATGCAAGAATTGAAGAGATATCGGTCCATCACAGCACGCGAAAATAAAAGAACAGGTGGTAGTCCCGTTATGTGAGGCGCACGGCTTCCGATCAGCAGTAGTGGCGTCTATGTGATGCTTGGACACTTGCGACCTCGAAGACTGGGTGGTATACTTTCGTGATATGAGGCTCGCGGCTTTGGAGCGGTGGTAGTGACGCCTCCAAGATGCCTGGACCAGCCCGATCTCGAAAACGACTCTAGCACCACCCAGCAGTGGCTGTTCACCATGCGGGCTCCTTCCAGCAAAGCACTGCCTGCGCCGTTCTGGGATGCTGCTCGTCACAGCTTCGGTGTGGCAGCTCTACAGACGTTCCTCGCTTTAGCGAGGGCACTGCTAGGCACAGCTCGGGTGCAGACGCTCATGGGCCACCAACCCACGTTCAAGCTTGGCGCATTACTCAGTACGGCTTAGCACCGCTCGGCGGTCCTCGGATCAGTGACTCACCCGAACGCTGGCACCAGATGCCTCGGCATATTGGCCACCCTGGACTTCGCCCGGCTCTGCGGTCCTCCATACTTGCCCTCGTCTTGCCCGGCAGAATGTCTCGCTCGTCTTGGAACCAGGAACTGCACTGCGCCAGGCCCAAACCCTTAAAGCGTGCCTCGTGCCGCCATGCCACCACGCACTTTTCGGTCTCTTCGTGCTAGGTGGTGTGCGCCGACGTTTTTGCGGTATTTACACGTGACAAATGTCCTGCTTGTATTACTTGAATTTAGATGCAGATAAGGAACACCCAACACACTCCACAATTGATAATTTGTCCAGTTGTCGATTTTGATAACCGACATTCAGTGAGGTGACCCTTCTCACTTCGCGTGAGGGGTCCAGCTGAAGAAACCGGTGTGCCGCTTCTTGAAGACTGTCTAATGAATCCCGCCGCACATCTGCCGCGGTATCAGTGGCAGCTCATTCACTGTGATTTATCTTTTGTTGAAGTAACTAAACACGCTCCTATTTCACATACACGTACACACTTTCTCGAATTGCAGCTCAAATACTCCTGTCCTGAACTTTTTGCAGATGCTTCAAAGTATAGCACTGGTGTGTCCTATACTGCCATTGGGCTATCCTTTTGTGACTTTGGTATTCTGCACCATAATTCGAGCATCTATACTTCAGAAGCTTACACAACTATTATTGCCGTTTAAAAAATTGGGAATGGAAACTGTAACGCCCAATCATACACACCGATTCTTTAAGCGTTGTAACAGCTTTAAAATTTTTACATAAACATGAAACATCTGTGCTCTTGTCACTTTGCACTAGTTTATGCACAATCTACACAGTCAAACAACATGTGGTAGTGTCCTGGGTGTCAAGGATAGGCAAATAAAAAATAAACTACATGTTATTAAGCTGAAACATGGACCCTGGCCACCAGTGTCCAGATCACGCAACACACAAATAGAGAGAGAGAGAAACGAGAAAAAAGAAAGGCAGGGAGGTTAACCAGATGCTAGTATCCGGTATGCTACCCTACACTGGGGTTGGGGAATAGGGGGTTGAAAAGAAAGGGAGAGTTAAGTTACCAGATTACAAATAGGACACACACGCACAGCACACATGCATATCTGCTGTCCGGTGGTGACCAACCCATCTGTGAGAAATGTGGACAAATAGTCACGGTTCTTCACATTCTCGTGCAGTCCAGTAAGTTAGATGCAATTAAAAAACACTTTCGACAGCAGTATTCTCTACATCATTTCATGTTAGCTGATGAAGATATGCCTTTTGAACACGAATCATTATTTGCGCTCTTAAAAAATGTGCGTCATTTTCATCCCATTTTTCTAAGTGATTTGTAGCACAACCTCTAAACAGACGTCATTTCTGTGGTGGCTAAAATAAACAAAGCACCTGCCTCGCTGCCCTTGGGCCCAAGGGAGTTGAGGAGATAGCCGTGCTATTGCTATGTATCCTCATCCTAGTTTTTTTACCACGACCACCAGCATTCGTTCCCGCAAGAGGCCTTTCATGTCACTGTCATGATTTTAGTATTTCTTTATTTTAACCCGCCTTAGAGCACTGATTTTCAGACCTCTTTACAGCCACGTAGCAGTATCATAGTGCACAGCTGACGTACTTTACATATTATAGTTCAATTACCGATCATAGCCAACCTTTCATCTTTCTCGTGGCGCTCTTCGGCCCAGCATAGGCCTTACGCCCCTAAAACTAACATATCATCATGATCACCACTTTGCTTTTGAGTTTTGATGTTGCGCACGCATGAATGGGTGGTGATCATTTCTTTTTTTTTTTTTGCGCATACGGGTAAAGAACAAGGGGTGTTCACGTGAACGTGCTCGCTTGCTGGTAAATATCGACTTTGAGACAGATCGAGGCATAAAATCCTTGCTCTCATAGTGAATGCGTTAAAATAGCCTTTCAGCAGCTTGCTTCGGGACCTTTTTCTGTTGATTTAACAAGAGCCCAAGTGATAGCATCGATGAGCTCTGACCTTGAAGATTTCGCGTCGCTTACGAATATGATTGTTACGCAATAATTCATATTGGTTCTGTACCAAAAATGTTTAGCACTGCAGTGTGTTAGTAAAATTTTGTGAACGAAATTATTGTCTGAAACCTGGCCGTTTTCTATACGCTTCTATATTTCATGTACCACCATTATAAGCCGCGTTTTTTTTTTTTGCTACGATTAAGGAAAAAACCTGAAACCTTACGCAGTTCAAACATAATTTTCCCACTATCCTGCCAGAAAGCACGGGAAACACCCTCGACAGAGGCATAAGCCTCGAGCGGATAGGAGAGAGTGGTTGCTGCTAGGTGGTCCTTCCTACGTGTTTAGTAGTTACCACAAGCAAAATAAAATACGATGCATACGTAAAGATTGCAATATTTGGAAGAAACACCTGCATAAACAACTTTATATAACGCTTCTTCGAAATAGAACGCCAAAATTACACAACTTTAGACAGAAAGTAATCTAATAAACGACCATTTAGGTGTTCTCAATCTTGGGATCCCTGTTTTTCACAATTTGCTACATTACCCGGGCGTGCAAGTGGCCTGAAATTGCATGCCTCTGCTGAATTCAGCGGCGCGTCCATAGGGGCCGCGGCGAAAAATGGCGCCGGCTGCAGTGCTCTCCAGTGTTGGCAGAAAATCCAGGAGGAAACGCACGTGCAGAGGAGCGTGTGAATACTTTCCTAGATCAAAGGGTTTTAGTGTTGAGCACTCTCTGAAGGTCGTCGCCTCCTTCCTCCACGCCACTCGTATTTCGAAGACCACCGCATCCACGGAGCATAGTCTCTTCTGCGCGCACGCTTATCATACTCGCCACTGAGGAGATCACGAAGGTCACTCCGTTAACAGCCGCGGCCGTGTTTACTACTAAGTGGTTTTAAGAGAGAAAGGAAGAAAAAAGTGAGCCCCGTAACTGTCTGCTTCAGCGAGCGACACCTCAACAGTAGCTCACAAGGGATGGGGGTGAGGAGGGAAATAAAGGATAGGAATAAAGGTGTAGAGAGAGAGAAAGAGGCGTGATGTGGTAAGCCAGAGAGCGACGACATATCGAGGGGATAGGAGAGATAGGAAAAATGGAAACATGTACTGTCCGAGCACAGGGCACCACTTGCGAGAGCTCTTGTCGGCGTCAGGATAGAGCAAGTCAAGAGCACGCTGCTCATACACGAAGTAAGGATTGTCACTGCTGTTCGCTCTTATCCGGTGTATAGTTGTGAGTTTGTTTCGTGTGTATTTATGTTTAAACAGCGCCCTTTCATCGCCGAGCTGTGACAGTTCTTAGTCCGCACTAGTCATGTGTATACTTATTTCCAGCGTGTTTTCTGCTCGAGGTGCGCTCAGCAAGTTTCGAGCTGCTTGTCGTTATTCCCGTGACTTTGAAACTTGTGACTGTAGCATTCGTTCATTCGACCTTGCCGCAAAACAATGAACATTACACCCTCAAATACTTCTGTGAAAACATGTTTCACTTTCGTGTTCTACCGATTCCTAGAAAGAGGTATCAGCCACGTTTTTTTTTTTTTTTTATTCTCGCCACTTCGCAGCCAAGCGATATCGTGGCTTCATTGCGTCTGAGCCTGTGATAAAGAAGATTCCACGTAATTTGGCAAACGGTCTTGGCAAGATGGACAAGTTCCCTGTGGTTTTGCCTGACGATGAGCTGATGCTGGCCACGCTTGAAGATGTCGAGGCCACAGTCAAGTTCATAGTGAAGGTATGCGATTTCTCATTGAAGCTTAGCGGGCAAATGTTGAAGCACAGTATATAATAGTAAAATGCTTGATTGGTCATTCCGGAGGATGGTTAAAGGGAAAAATGCTGTTACTATTATAGCATTCTGCAACGAAGTTGGCAGGGGTGATCTTATCAGACAACTAGGCGGGTTAATAGCATTTCCACTGGCTATTGATGTTCATGATGCGCATGGCAAGCATCAATAATTGCACTACGGCAGGACTCTGGCTTTTTATTGCGAAGTTGTTTTAATTGACTCTGTGCTTCTGTTCGTCATTCCGTTCCCTTGGTGAGGCGGGGTTGGACCCCTGTTCCTCATTGTCCAAATGCAAAGGTCATCACGTTTTCGCTATCAACACGGTCTGGCAGAGCATGAATTTAGGAGAAAGTTTTATATGCGCTACCGGTCATCGCAACACAAATGTAATACAGAACACTTGCCGTAGGTGTTTCATTCAAATATTTTCCGAGCATTCAGATGAAGGCGATAAATGCATATATCTAGAGGCACTTTAGATTAAAACAGCAATTCGTTCTTTTTTAGAGGCTTGCATTTACTGCGATAAGCGCGATTGCCTGGGTGCGAGGTAACATGGCACCAATTTAACTGAATAAATGTAAGCGCGCACAGTTTTAACCGAGCATCGGATAAAGACACCACATGATCTCGCTAGCCAATCACATACTCTTCATCACTATAGTGAGATCGTCATATGAATGAGTTGTGTATATTGAAATGTACAATATCCATAAGGAACTAAGAAAATACAAAAATCTATCATTTTAAACTACACTAAGGTACATTAACATGAAAAAACGCAAACCAAATATTATGAAAGACTTCATTTCTACGCCAAAATACAAGATAAAGATAGACCACATTTATCCATATGAAATACATTGCAACAACAATGATAGGATGAATGATGCACCAATATAAGAACCATGGGATGTTTCTTTCAGCAACATTCATTCTTGCTACAAAAGCACAACCGGGGAGTAGGTTAAAAATAAAACGAACGTAGACTTTTCTTATAGCTTAGCCACATGCTCTTTTGAAAAATGGTACAGCAAAGTAGTTAACGTGGTTGCTTGGGCGAGTTGGTACGACATTATTCACATAAAAACAGCGCCAGTAACGAGGGACAAGGAAAGGAGACAGACAGTGGCACTGACTTACAACGAGATTTATTTGCTGGATCCGCGCAATAAATACTTGAGCAATATCTCAAAAATAAGAAGAATTTGAAACCGAATTAACAGAAATCACATAACCCCGAGTAATCATCGTGATAACGCGAAATTAACATCACGTGTGCCAACATTCTGTAGAAAACCCATTCCTTTTTTGTGGTAGAGCTATCGAAGACATGCCGCACATAAATTGCCCAGCCTTTTCATTTCTACGGCCTCATAAATTTCGCATGTATTCTGATCACGATGACGCCTAATGACCGTACAATGCTAAAAGTGTGGGACACAACCGCAGTCCCGGCAATGAATGCCGAGGTGGCCTGGTACTGTAGAAGAGACATTGGGAGCATGCTCTTTGAGCCGCTCAGTTGTACACCTGCCTGTTTGTTAGACGTAACACTCGCCGCAGGACAGGGGTAGAGAATACACCACCCCTTCGATACATAGAACGTACTTTTTATGATGCTTGATTTTGCAGCCTCGCTCTCACCTTGAACCAGGATTCACGGTCTTGCACATCCTAGGTAGCTTTTCTGGGGCAGACAAAACCAAATCTACGTCGCACCTGCTGGCCACTTTTTTGAGGTTGTGGGTGACACCATGGATATAGGGAATAACGACAGTTTCGTTTGTCCCGTCCCTTATTCCTTGTGCGTGTTAGAGCATTAGTCTCTGGGCTCATTCTGATTTCTTGGAGTACACACTCAGCAACGGTGGTCAAAAAATGCATCTGGAAACCAGCCTCAGTAAGGCTTTCAGTTTGCTGAATAAAGCTGGACCGAATCATGTGATGGCAAGACCTTCAAAGTGCGTTTGTGTAGCATGTCTTCACAATAGCGCGCTTCACCACCTTTGAATTTACCGATCCAAAAGGAAGGATTGGCTTGTTTGCACGCGGCTCATAGGCCCAACACACGCGGGAAGGACTCAACATCAACATCAGATATAGGAACCTGATGGTTCCTCTGTCCGGAACGTCATGGGTTATAACAAGCGGAGAAAGGCACTTACTGAAAATTTCTTAAATACTAGTGAAGGATGAAACGGCTGACGAGGTTCTAGCTTCAAACAACACAATGAAGTCGTCAACGTAGCGGAATATTTTTTTAACAGTTGTGGATTGCAAGCAATTCTGAAAGGCACGATCACAGCTGGCTAAAAATAAATCGCTTCAAATCGGTGCAAGGCATGATCCTATGCACACCCCATGACTTTGCAAGTAAATATGATTATCCCACTCTGCAAATGTCGATTTTAGGAAATACTCAAGCAGTTCCATGAAACCTTCAACAGATATGCCTGATGCATTCTGATAAATCACAACGCCAATTCTGTCATTGCACACGCGAATGCAAGCTAGAAGCTCATTGTGTGACATTGAGTAGTACAAATCTTTAATATTTATTGAGCATGCCTGGTAGCCAAAATTTCATCTTTTAGCCCGGAGATCACATCATCGGAACTGTTAGCTAGGAACGGATCGTCTATATTTGATAACATCAGTTTACCCTGAAGAAATAGTGCCGGCATGTTTTGCCACGAGCTAGCTTCTGACACTGTAACACGGGAAGAACATTAAGTTTGTGCGTTTTCGCGTTAAAAGAAATTTTCAGGCTAAGGTTTTTCCCACCATCTATTTTTTTACCAATACATCAAGATTCAGCCTTTTACACCGACCTTTTGCATAGGTTCTAACCTTCGGAAGCGACACATTAGCTTGGGGCTAGAAAACAAACAGAATCGCTTCACTAGCTTTTCAAAGACGATAGTCTTTCTTAGAAACTTTCGACGCCCAAGTCTTGGTCTGTTTGTCTTTACACTTTCCGTTTGTCCGCTCTTGATAGTATCCTTAACGGCACCAAAGTGGTCAAATGATACTCCTAACGGCCGACCCCACCCGCAGCGCCCACCAATATTGCTCAAGATTTACCGTTCATAATTGTGCGATTGTCAATAAAAAAAATTATTGCGCATGTCTGTGGCCCCATAACAACACGTCAATATTCTGTATGCGTGTCTTTTACTATAAAAGGCATACATAAGTAATTATAAGGACCATAGCGTTTATCACGTAGCGCTGACCAGGCAACGCTTGCACGAAAAGGCAAGTGTTTCCAACACTTTGTTAAGACGACACGGTGGTGGCACCTACCCGTCGCCTTGCATTCTACACCTTATCACCTCTGAGCTTTGTTTTTCAACATAACTGCCAGATAGTGCTCATGTCTCACATGTGACATGACTTGATGCGCTCGATCACCTCCGCTACACGCTCGAGGCACTCAAACGCAGCGCCTCCAGTATACCATTCACCAATTTTCTTGCGCAGAACATCAAATAAACGTTTTGTTCACTCTCTCCAGACGCAAGACTATCGTGTTTTGACGACATTTGCAGTGTAACATGTAGATAAAGGGTCAATTTTTTTCCTATTGAGTTCATTCGAAAAAATAACAAAAGCTCCCTCCTTATCTTCTGCTACCAAGAACAATGGCTTATCCCTCAAGAAGGATTTTACTTTCTTTACAGGAATGCTGTTTAAGCCTGCTACATGGTTACAAAGAATGTCGCAACCCTCGGAGACACACCTCTCAGCACATTCAACAGGTACCTTGGTAGAAATGCTGCGGACCAGGCTCAGAAATTCTTCTCTTGACTTTCTTGACTCAACAGCATACTTGGAGCCATGGCTAAGCACACTGCGAATGTTCTCAGGCAAAGACGCATTAGCCCGAGAATGCGAGCCGTCCTTGCTGAGGGAAAACATTTCTTGGCAGCGAAGCTCGCAGCTCTGTCAGCAACTGCCGCCAATGGAATTCCGCTGCCGCATTAGCTAGGTCACGGTGATTGAGCCACTTCTTGCCCTCATTATAGTTCGTAGTCTCTTCGAGTGAGAGAAACAGGCACTGCTTAAAGAAACGAGCTTGTCGGTGCCAGTGAGAACTCGGGACCTTGAGAAGACCGAGTCCGTTTTCCTGCGAAGGCTTGAAACCGCCAAAGAGCAGCAGAATGTCGGGGGAAGTCGTTTGTACCGGACAAGAAAAAATAACTTTCGCGCATTGCACACGGCGTAGACGTACATGGCGACGATGACACATGGTTTAACTCTTTCAAGCACATAATTTGGGTTTGCTTCAGATTTTTGAATTTTAATGCAAAAATTATAATAAAAGGTCACAAATAACACATTGCACGCACGAAAAAAAAATTACGACATTTAACAAAGTTCCCAGAAGGTGGTCACCACTGATGACCACCGTGCCGGAAGGGTCTATGTTTCGCACATATGCAACAACTGGTCGTTTTCAATGTAGCAGCATACTTTGCGCTGTGCACAGAGGGAGTCACTTCTTGTGGAATTCTGAAAAAAGTTTTTTTCTTTCCGAAGGCAGAGTGGCACGTTGCATGTTTGACACATCCAAATGGTTCGAGATGGGTGTGCCTTTGTGCTACAGTTCGCGCACCTTCGTGGTGAACACCTTGTTGGTTGATGGTTGGACGCTGTTGTACGCATGGCGAAGTCCACAAAGGGTTTGAATTTCTTCAGTTCGGCCCCTGCGCCGACAGATGACTTACGTTTATCTGTAGGATCTAGAAGAGCTTCGGCAGTCATCTGTCGGACTAAGCTTCTTCTAAAGTCCTTCAAGGTCATTTTTTTGGAACCAGCATGTTCCCGAAAAATGATGAATGCGTTGACAACACTGCAATCAAGAAGGTGAAAAAATATCCGGTGCCACCACTTGCGTGATTTCCGATCTACCTCATACTGCCCTTTCAGCTGATCAA